GTTTTCCGGCGGCGCACGGCGCGGCGGGGCCCGGCGGAGACGAGGCGGGAGGCCGGGCGGCCGGAGGGGACGGGCCGCAGCTCTCCCACCGCGAAACTTTCCCAGCTGCTAACTTTCCTCGGCCGGCTCCCCTCTCTGGGCCAACCACGGCGGGCAAGGAAAACAGAGAGGAAGAAGTGAAACCCCGCAACCACCTGACTGTAGTCACAGGACGCGGAAACTCCGCGGCCTTATAAAAGCCCTGGGGGAGGGGCAGGAGGAGGGAGCCGGCCCGCCCTGCCGTTCTAGGCTATCGGGAAGTTGAGGAGGAGTGGTGGGATGGGGTCTCTAGGTACCCCCTCCCCAAGAGGCTAGCGCCCTTTGTTCCGTTCTGTCGCGCCCCCCCCCCCCCCCCGATCTCCCCGTGGTATGCCCGGGGAGAGTAGAGGGGAGCACGTCAAAAGTAGGGGCACACCAAGAAAGTTTTAGCTCTTTGCCGGTGGCAGCAAAGTTTTCTCTCGGAAAGTCTCGGGAGTGCCTATTCACTCGCATTTCCCCCCTTCTGTTCTGCAAAGCATGGTTCATGGGACAAAGTAATGGGGGTATTCCACTAACCCGCACCCACAGTCGCCTATCTGGTACTGGGCTTGCTGTTTTGCCCACTGGGAGCCAGCCTGGGGCTCTGGGGGCGCACGGTGTTTGTACACCATGCAAAAAGGCCTGGGACTGCCCACCCAGAATATTGCTGCTGAGCTTGCCCTGTGCAAACAGGCGCAGGGCGGAGGCAAGAGCAGTGACGTAGCATAGGTCGTCATGCGTTAAAGGCTCAGGTAACGAGGAAGAAATCACCTCCTCCTCTGCAGGATTCCCATCAACTAAATTTGATTCCCTTCTGTTCCTAAATTAATCTAGTAAAATATTTTTTTATCACTGGTTGTTTGAAAAAAATATGTCAGACGAAGCAGTAAATGAACTGACACATCTTTAGAACCCAACATAAAATAAGTTTCCTAGTCCTAGGACCATGTGTGTAGATTGTAGGTGTTGGGTAAAAAACATCTTTGCCAGCAGGCTCTCCACATGAAACACCCCAACCCCAGGCATCAGTCCTTGCCATTAGGATGGAGTTGTGCAGCTAAGTGGCACTGTCTTAGTGCTGTAGCATTTAGGTGTCATGTAAATTACTTTACAGAGCTATTTTGTGCAGGGGAGCAATGAGGAGTTCTCTGGAAGGGAAATGTTCTGTGGCTGTCTAGACAGTGTGTGTGCACACAAGTCAGGAGCCCAAGTTAAGATGCAATTACGAGTGAAGGGATGCCTTCAATGGGAAATAAAGTAGTGGTTAAAACATCTGGAAACTGATCTGGCAAACAATCATCAGTTGCTCCTGATTTTATAATAGTTCTTTGTTCATACTAATTCCTTTGTTATGCTTTAAGTAGTGACTTCAGTAAAATAGACCAGACTTTCTTAGTTGGCTTGAAGCATGCTTACTTTTGTGTCACAGAAAACTGATGCATATAATGTAGATGAGAGTGGGCAGCTGTTTGGCAAAATGACGCAAAAAAAGAGCTATCTTCTTGCAGAAAAACTGTATTTAGAGATTTTGGGTTAAATTTATTAATTTAAGCAGTCATGAAATATTAACTACAAGACAATTGTTCTAAACATTATTTACTTTCCAGCAGAAATAATAACATCATAATATAAACTAAGGGAAGACTAAAAAATTAGATATTTTTTTTTGGATGGAGGGTGACACGTAGTAGCAGAGGTTCTTTGGCAAGAGATAAGATATATGAGAAACATTGCCATTAGTTGAGGTATTGAGGCTGAGTGTGGGAGACCTTATTTCAGGTACACTATGGGTTCTGCTAAACCTTCTTAACTGTATCTAGGCTGACGTCTCTTTGTGTGCACAGCTACGTATATTCACATTGGGGATTTGGCTGGCGTGCACTGAAGATCACTCCCTGCATGGGTTCCTAAGTTTCTCTCCTTCTCACAAAAAACAAGGAGAGATGGAAGTGAATTGTCACATGCTCATGTAAGGAGGTGGCTGGGGTCTAATATGGATGCAGAAGCCTAATTCCTCAGGCTTAGATGTAGTCTTTGTTTCTTCATTCCCTACCTGTCTGGTGATTTTAGTACTTCACTACCTTAGAGGAGAGTTACGTTAATTGGTTACTAGGCACATTCTGCCATTAGATGGCAGGGAGTGGAATGCTTGTTTCTTCTAATTGCAGGCTTCTCATAACATTAGATAAATTGTTTTCCTTGCATACACAGGGTGGAAATTTTAGGCATTTCCTACCATTTGTTAGCCCTGCTTACTACCTTCTTTGTCTTACATGCCACAGAAATCTATTACTCCCATTAATTTCTTCATACTTCCTCCTCATTTTGCAGGGAATCATAGAGCATATCAGACAACTAAGTGAGCAACTATACCATTGTTAGCAAACTGAATATGAGTACTTCAGTATACTTGAAATTTGCTGTCAACAGTACAAAAGCAGCTTGTAGGTTAATTTATTTCTCACATACAGAATTTTAGCAATTAGAACCAACACAAAAAACAAAGAAGTCTATAGAAGTCATGGTCTGTTCACAGAAGAGTCACTAACAGAAGCAAGGGTAAAATGTGACCGGTAATTTTCCACGATTAATAGTTTGATCAGTTCTAATTACATTACAGCATGCCAAACGAATAGCAGTGGATCTTGCCTGAACTAATAATTTGCCTTAATTTCATTATTATTCATTTTGTTCAGTTGGCTAATATCTGTGTGAAACAGCTTGGCAAAATTCAGTCATTTGCAGTCCTGTTATTACTGCTCTCTCTGTGGTGCAGTATAATCAGCCATGCGCGAGGTTGTAGAATAAAGTACAGTCACCACCCTCGTAGTGCAGTGTAGATAATCTTTATACGCTGAACTAAATTTCGGTCTCACTTGGTCTTTTGCATATAATTCTACTTTTTTAACTGACTCCCCTTTACCAGTTGAATGTCAGCAAAAATCCTCTGTTGAACAAGGATTGTTGGCATCATGGTACAGTAATTGGGATTACATTATTATACTTTACCTTCAGTTGCCTACATTGGAAGACTGGGAAAGGGTTATTATTGTGCCAACCAGCTTATCTGGTTGGTTGCCTTTCAATAAGATGCCTGCTTCATATTTCAAATAGCAATTCTAAAAGCTATTTGGTTTTTTGTTTCCTTGCACTGGAGATACCAGGAATGAGGAAGAGAAAATATAAATCTTACAAAACAGGCTTTTGGTATCCTCTCAACCTTAAGGCTGGAGGCTGGTCTGAATAAAAACTAGTTATTGTTTTTACTGTTGCTGTTTGCTGGTATTAGCTTGCCCAACTACTGTGGTCCTTTGTTAAATTATCAGTTTATCCACGTCAGAGCATTGGCTTCCAACAGCAGCTGGGTTCAAGGAACTGGCTTCTTGTTGGAAATGCTTCAGAACTTTTAATAGCCTAATGATTATTACACAATGAATGCCAAAGGACTGGTAAAATAGCTTTACTTATGAGATGACATTGTAGCTTCTCTTTTTTCTGACCCTTAATGACTTTCTGTATCTCTCTTCCTTCAAGACTTCTTCTAATCTTTCCCATGTTAGTGTCTCCTCCACTTCCTCTACAACATCATTTTGCCCAGTCTTCCTTCTATTTTCATCATACCAACTGTTGTTCTTTAATATCTTCTATTTTTGCCTTTTTTGTTTGTTTGTTTTCTATATTTGTTTCCTTTTCCCTTGAACATTCTTCACCTCACCTCAGTTTAGACTCTTTGATTTTTAATTTTTTTTCATTATTTCTCCCGTTGATACTCCCCTTCCCATTCTTCTGAGCTTTTTCTTCTCTGCAGCAAGTGAGGAATTCTTCATGTTTGTCCTTGTCAACCTGCAGTGAGGAAGGGACAGCAGCAGGTTCAGCTGGTTAGTCAGGCCAGGAAAGCTGTAGGATGCACATCATTGCTTAAAGGAGAGGGATGCTTTAGTTTGCTCTCCCCTGTAGTTGCATTAGAAGTGAAATTCATAACAAGGGGTGGTGTGAGGAGCTGGAAAAGTGAAAGAAGTATGACACATGTAAGACTTCCCTGAGCAGATTTGCACACTGTTATTTGTCTCATGTGATTCTCTGATTAGGTGGAGGATGCACAGAACATTTCCTCTGCTCTGAGTGGCATTTCCCGATAGTCAAGGGGAAGAAAAAACTATCTGTGTTGTAAAACAGTATTTTTATAACAGACAGATTGTACTGCCTGGAGCAGCATAGGTGACAATGCTTTCTTTTAATAGTGTTTTTTCTAGGGAAATGTGCCAATGTATTGCTTTTAGTAATGGTAACATAGAAACAGTGGAGCTCAAGGTGAGCAAACAAGGCTGGAGTGCTGTTGGAAAAACACTGTTGTGGCCAACTAGAACAGTGAACAACAAAACGCATACACAAGAGGTTTGAATGAAAGTTGCATGAACCTTACATATGAGTTTACAGTCTATAAATGCATACTGAGTTTTTGCCCACTGAAAATATTCTCCATCATTTGTATGAGAGCACCCATGAACAGAAGACTAAGATTATACATTAGTATTAGCCTGTTTGAGGCTTCACTTCCTACAAGGCAATACGATACGCTGTTGTCATCTGACCACAAATTTAACTGTATAACATGGACTCCACCTTGTAACATACACCCAGTCTACATATAGAACAATTCTACTTATACTTGAAAGATGTGATTGTGGAAATACAGATACTCTTCCTGTGTCAGTTGCAAAATGTATCTTGGATGGCTGCAGACAAAACTATTAATGGACAACCCTAAATATATATTGGAAAATCTTGAAGAATAAATATTAACTTTTTGTTAAAACCCATAAAATAGTGATCTATCAAATAAAGATGAATGTTTTTGTCTGGAAGAGGAAGAGAAACCAGCCATGAGGAAGTA